TGTGGGATAGCTCCCGGAGCTATTACCATTGATTTCCATCCACACCTAGCCTAATTCGACATGGCCATGTCGAATTTAGCGCTACTCCCCTCGTTGGGGAGGAGTACAGAAGTCAAATTTAAGAGACCTCTATGTCGAACTAAATAGCTTCGTGGTGTGGACGGGTGCAGGGTTAATTCGATGTAACGGCGCTAACTTCGACATAAACGCCTAGTGTAGACCAGGCCTAAGAGTTCTTAGGCCTTGTTCAATATTTATCACTCCATCTTCTCCTTGGTCAGATACCATACGAATATCCTTCCAAGAGATGTTTAGCTGGTCTGTCTCCTGTCATCCTAACTACGTGCCCAGCCCTCTGATCTATTTCCCAGCCATCTGATTACTTGCAGGGCTGTCATGTGTATTTGCCATATTTTGGAGGGCTCCTGGCCTCTATAAGATCAAAACATTCCATGTTCCTAGTATCCAGTCCTTCTTCCATCACTGAGGGCATTTATCCCTATCATCATTTGTGTTTTTCCCAGGTTTATTTAAGAAATCCTTAACAGATGTACTTTATATGGGATACGGTTGTTAGCCTTATTCCAACTCTCAACATGGACAGCCAATGGATTGCTCCTTGGTCTGGCACTTATCCTATCTGGCTTGGGAGATCCTGTTGGTAGCAAAGCTACCCCTGGCTCAGCTTTCAGGGTTATGAGCACTCAAGCCCCTCCACCATGTCAATCCGTAGGAAGGGGCAGAGAAGACCCTTGTTTTTAAATCCAGTCCCAGCCTGAGAAATTCTTCCCTCAGCCATGTATTTGTATTGCCAAGCTCCATCCTTCAGCCATGCAGGGCTCACCTGTTCACTGGGGGTGGGCCAAGATGGCACTCTCTTTGATAGTTCCTCAATACCCCGTGCTAGGCAAGGCATATGTCTTGGCATTGCCTCATCCACCAGTTATACATATACAAGATTAAACTGACTTTCAACATAGGGCACAAAATGGCATAGTTTGCTATAGGCAACCAAAAAGCAAGGCATAACTTGGTACAGGCCTGCCTCCTTCTGTCACTCCAATCATCTCAACTTTTCTTCTTTTAATCTTTCACACTCTTGTCCTCAGTTGCATATTGTGGCAATGAATGAAAAATGGCAGCATTTAAGCACCGTAAGAAAGGGAGAGAAGTTTTTATTCAGTTCCATTGATGTCAATGGGAAATACGTTGGGTTTGATCAACAAAGCATTAAGGCTCTGATTGTCATGAGGGCTCACAAGAGCCTCATGAATGACGGATTTTGTTGTCCACTGGCTGTTCCGAAAAATAAAATTAAAAAAATCTTGCAAGTCAAGCCAATTTTTTTTTTAATTTTCAGCCAACCAAAAAGTTGAAGTAAACTTCATTTTGGGTCAAACAAAATATTCTGATCAACCCAAAATAAAACATTTCATTTTATTTTTGAGCTTTTAAAAATGTATTCTGTTTTTTTTAAATAAAATTGAAGTACATTTCAAAACAAATTGTTTTGAATTAAAAAACAGAAAAATTTCATTTAGAAAATATCTAAACAAAATATTTCATTTTTCCCCCCCAGAATTTGGTTTTAGGGTTTGGGGCAGGTGGGATTGACCAAAACAATTTGACAAATTTGACACAAATTCATGAAATGTTTTAGATTACCTAAAACTGCTTTTTCTTGGTGAAAAAAGCTTCAGCCAAAATGTTTCTTCTCCCAGCTCTAGTTGTCACTAACCCAGTTGTGTAGTCCATGCTCAGCACCTACCAAAATCAGGCCCTAAAAGGTTGGGTCTTGGCTACCTTAGAAGTGTAGTAGTGCTGTGGTGAGATCAGCAGAGATTCTTGAGTGGAGCTGGTGGGAAAACAATTTTTTCCCTATGGAAAATTTCAACAAAAATGAGAGGGAATTGTTTTCATTGACAATTTCCAGAGAAAAGTTTGACTTTTTGGTGAAAAATCAAAAATGTTCAGCTGAAAATCCAAATATTTTGATTCTGAAATATATATAGCACTTTTTATTAGTGGATCTTAAAGAATTCACACTCTTTAATGTATTTATCCTCACAACTCTCCTGTAAGGCAGGGCAGTTATCCCCATTGTACAGAGGGGGAACTGAGAGGCTGAATGACTTGCCCAAGGTCACACAGGAAGTTTGAGGTAGACCAGGGAATTGCACCTGGGTCTTTAAAGTCCTAAGCTAGTGCCCAAACCACTGAACCATCCTTCCTCTCAAAATGCCACTGTACTGCCTCATGGGAGTTGTCGTTTGAGTTCCTCATGTTCCCATTCTCTTCTATAGACTGGTCTCCCTCATTGGGCTACATTTCCCATGATGCACCATGATTCCATCCATGGCAAGGGGAAATGGTTGCATCCTGGAAGACCCACTGAGTGGAGCCCAGCCTATAGAGGAGAATGGGGACATGAGACAACAACTGAACTACAACTCCCATGAGGCACTGTAGAAGAATATCCAAATAGAAATATTGTGATTTCCAGATGTTTAGTTTTTTTGATGAAAAATCAAAATATTCCACAGAAAGCGGATCCTTTTCATGTCAGCGTTCTGGTTACCTGATGTAAAAAGAGAAGTTGGGTGTCCCAAGATGAATCCCTACTTAATCAAATTATTCAAATTACCCAGGTTAAGTTGTAAAGATGCTTAGAAGAAATTCATAGGTCCCTAATGATCTTGAAAACAAGCTGTATTCTATCAATTCTATTTTCCCATTGTGTATTTGACACATTACAGATCCTGGAAAAAATTGAAATGGTTGGGAAGCTCTACTTGCAACTTCTCAGCGTTGGCAACATCCTTTTCATAGACTGGAAAGCTGAAGTTTGTTGTGACCCCAAACACAAAGTAACAATCTACGCAGAGTTTGGAATAGCCGGAATCCTTGTTCAGAGCAACAAACCCATCCTGGAAGAATTAGACGGCATTTGCAAAGTCATGGAGCATTGCCTTGTGGAGTGGAAGAAATATCTGGAGACTCAAAGGAATAATTATTGCCATCTAAACATGTTCACTGCACGCCAACTCTTCTACTTGTGTAGCAAGTTAGCCCAACTGCATGAAGGACAAACAGACCCACAGGTTTTGAATATGCTTTCTGTTTTCAAGCATGATGTTATAGAAGAGGATATCAGAGAGGCATTAAAGAGAGCACTTGAAACTCCTGCAGAATCCACTGATATATCACAGAAAGATGATCTGTCCGTGTCCTGGAATGACTACGTTGTTAAATTTCCTCAGCTCATCCAAGGTCTGGTTGAGTCTGGGTATGACAAATCAGTGGGTAAGGCAGCTCTGCAGAGTTTCCTGCCAAACTCAGCCATTACAGAGCATATGCTCATGAAATTTGCCTTAGACTACGCTGATGAAGAGGAAGAGATTGAAGAGCTGAGCAAATTATATGACGAGCAGAGAGAAGCCTTTCTGCAGAATTCCATGAAGTTTAAAAACAGGAACAGAGATGTGGATCCATCTACCTTCCAAAGTCTTGCGAAAGATGAACTGGCCATTTCCTTTGAGAGTTTGCCATCTATTCACGCCAAGGTGCATTTGCTCTGGAACGCTTACTGTAGCAAGCTCACTGGCCTGGTGTCGGACAAATACATCAGCCTGGATGTTTTCGGTGAAATGCTGAAATACCTGACGTCTCCTGAAACCGCTGTCATTGAGAGGAATTTACCAGTGGGTTTGGAAGCGGGGAAGCCTTGCCTTGTCACATGTAAAGAAGAGCAGATGTTACCCTCCTTGCTGTCTGTCTATAGGCACTCTGAGGGGGCACCTCTTCCAACGTATGATGAGGTGCTGGTCTGTACCCCTGAGACAGAGGAAGAAGACATTGAGCTGATTGTGAGGAGAGCTCTTTCCCCAGAGTCCAGACACAAAAAGATCTATTGCTTGCTTGGTGCAGAAAAATTAGTTTACAAAGTCTCCGAACAGCTGGAATCCCTCTTCTTCCACTTTGCACAATCTTGTAGCAATGCGGATTACAGGTTTCTTATCTTCTGTGACACCAAAGCTCACAATTCTTATGTTATAACGGCCTTCAACACATACAAAGTCTCCTTTTCCTGTGATTCGGGAGTAGAAATTCAGAAATACCTGAAGACACACCTGAGAGTGCCCAGTGGGGTGGCACCTGTTGCTCAGGTCTTTGAAGAATCTTATCAACAGAACATGAAGTTTGTATTTTCAGAGCGAGCTGGCATGGGTAAGTTTTAGTAGAGATTTTATCTGGATTATATTTGTCCTGATGAGTATGAATTGAATACAGATTAAGGGCTAGATTCTGCTTAGCCCTTATGCACTGGGAGATGGAGCAGAATCAGTCTTCTCTGTCCCAGCTCCTCTGGCAGGGCCCCAGAGAACATAGGGAACAGGTAGACCCATAACCTACATGGGGGGGGGTCAAGGTCTAGCTGGAGGTGTAGCTATGGGCACACTTTCTCTGTGAGGCTCCTGCCTATCTTTAGACACTGTTAGTCAAATGGGCTGTTGGTCGAGACTTGGCTCTGGGGCTGCAGGAGGTGGCATAGGAGCCGGCTGAAGAGAATCTGGAGCAGAAAATCTGCCCTCAGTTTTAGCTTTGTTTATGCTTTTTATTGAGAGGGTGGGGATTCAGAACCTGAACTGATACCACAATCACTGGGCCTTTACCATTAAGAGCTTATTTTACAGCAAGTTACTATAACAGGGTTAAAAAAAACACCTAGATGAAATCATGGAGGATAGTCCATGGTTATTAGCCAGGATGGGCAGGGATGGTGTCCCTAGCCTCTGTTTGCCAGAAGCTGGGAATGGGTGACAGGGATGGATCACTTGATGATTACCTGTTCTATTCATTCCCTCTGGGGCACCTGGCATTTGCCGCAGTCAGAAGACCAGATACTGGGCTAGATGGACCTTTGGTCTGACCCAGTATGGCCATTCTTATGTTCTAAGTTGTTCCATGCCTAACCTGTGGAGTGAAGATGAAATTTCTCCAGTGTAGAAACTTCTTTTAGCTCCCAAGCTGAAGAAAAACTATACAAAAAGGCCAGATCTTCAGTCTGTGTATATGAGAGTAGATCCACTCACTCCAATGGCACCACACCCATTCACAGCAGGTGAGGATCTGGCCCATTGAGGCCAATGGAGCTATGGCTGGTTTACACCAGGTGGGGATCTGGCCTTCTCTGCTTCAGGTGAAGAAATGGAAACATAAAGACAGAGTATGAGAAGGCAGAACACTGTAGAAATTAAATTTCAACCTTCTCTCTCATTTTAGGGAAGTCTTTGTTTGTAGCAAATACCACCAGAAAAGCCAAAACCCGACCAGAGAATGCAGGACTGAGACACAAAACCATTAGGCTGACGGAGTCGGAAATAGATTTTGGATTTCTCCTGGAGGAGCTTCGCTCACTGGAACAGAAACCAACTGAGGCTGGGCCCAGGATCTTCCACATTGACGTATCCCCTGTGGTAAGTATCTCTTTACTGAACGCAATCTCCATGCCATGATGTACACTGAAGATGAATTTTTCACGGCCTCATTCAAAATGTGAATGTGCCTTTCAGTGTCGGATAAGTAAATTCCTTCCACTGGTAGGTAGTATTGCAATGCAGTTAATACCCTTCAGTTTCTGTAACAAAGGGTTAAACTGTGAACAGTTGTCTTACCTGAAATTTAGTTATCCTACTTGAAGTTCCACCACAAACCAAACTCTACCCACCCACTTGTGATGTCAGAAGAAGGTGACGCTCCCAGCAGATTTTAACTCTGCATCACTGTGCAGTGTCCCAGTCACCAGGGCCGGCTCCAGGCAGCAGCATAGCAAGCTGGTGCTTGGGGCGGCCAATGGAAAGGGGCGGCACGTCCGGCCCTTCGGTGGCAATTCGGCAGCGGGTCCCTCACTCCCTCTTGGAGGAAGGACCTGCCGCCGAATTGCCGCCAAAGAATGAAGCGGCGGGGGTAGAGTCGTGGCTGAAGTGCCGCAGATCGCAATCGTGGCTTTTTTTTTTTTTGGCTGCTTAGGGCAGCAAAAACCCTGGAGCCGGCCCTGTCAGTCACAATGCCCGCAGATCTCTTTGTATTGCCATTGTCTCTGTCACTGGTACAGCGACAGCCCAGCATTTACTGTCACAGTAGCAGGGAGACCACACAATGGGTCAAATCCTTGCCTGGTGTAAATCAGTGTAGCTTGCTTGAAGTCAATGGCGCTATGCCTGTTTTACACCAGCTGAGGTTCTGACCTGGGATGTACCATCGTGGGGCATCTCTTTTCTTTTGTTGATTTTTTGGGTCGTCACTGATTCAGAATGTTTAGTAACAGTGGGAAGCAATGAACAGTTGACATTGTCATGAAGCAAAACTGACCAGCCCTGCATCTTTCTTGACAGGTCTCGAAGGGTCTTTACAAGTTACTGATTGAGCTGTGCATTCTGAGACACATCCAAAGCCCTGATGGCATGGTCTGGAAGTGCAGAGAGTCCCATCTTTATTTGATTGAATACCTGGTGAGAGGAAAAGGCATAAGCAGCACAAGAAAACAAGAGGTATTCTCCAAATGTTATGCACTGTGAATAGCAGATTTTCTCAGGAACCTAGCAACACGCCTGTGATAGCAGCATGTTAAAATTCAAAGTGAGAAGACCTTGATGGAACTACAAATCTTTGGCCTGTATTGTACTGTCCAAAAATAGAGAAAAATGAGTGAGCTGTATAAAATCATTGCTGTTGGAAGAAACACATATTATCAGTACCAGAGCTGCTGGAAAAATGAAAATTCCATCCTGTTGGAAAATCTGCTATTTCAATTTTTCCTACTAACTTTGGAAAGTTCTGAAAAGTTTTGATTCAGAAATATCAGAATGAAAAATGGCAACATTTTTGATTGAAAGAAAATGTTCAGACGTGTCAAAATGAACTTTTTTTCATTTTAACATCAAATCAAAACAATTTTTGACGTGATTCAAAACAAAAAAAAATTGTTTCAGTGTTTTTTTTTATGGAAAATTGAAAAATGTAATAAAAATGTAATCAAAATCGATCCTTTCCTGCAAACAATTTCAATGAAACCACATTTTTTGACAGGAAATTTTTTCAGTCAAAAATTTTTGCCCAACTTTAGTCAGTATCCAGAAGAGCGTTAAGTTGGACATATTGTATATGTATAAATAAAGTTAAAGAGCCTACCTTGAATCTTGTGAATCTATTTATACCTATATGATGCTACCATTCTGATCTAATAATGTACAAATGACAACACAAGGTGCCAAACAGTGGAAAATCAGGACCCAAGATTGGTACTTCACTTGTTTTAGAGCATCAACTACACACAGATGTGTGCAAGGGGCAAGACCATTGGACTATATTAGAGTAAGGCTTTTTTTATAGCAGGGCTTATAATTTACCTAGAATTAGCGACTGCTCATCTTTCAAAGTTTTGTGACTTAAACTCTATCATTTAGGAAGACGAGATGGTACCATTTGAGGATTAGGTAAATTACTTCATGAATCTAAATTTGGCTGTATCACAGTGAATGATTAGCACTGTGTAACATGGTCCTGCCTTACCCCAATATCTTTGTGCTCTGCTCATTAAGTCATGTCCTCATGAATAATATAAATGTCAGTTTATAGATGATTGCTTCAGTTTATAACTTCAGTGTTTATAAACCTTTAACCCCTTGTCATTTGGCTTTTAGATGACCAGTGAAATGGAGAAAGGATTTCTAGGTCTCCTTCCAGCTGTGAAATGCATGTCACCAATAGAAGTACTAGAGATACTTAAAAACAACAGTTCTGGAGCTGCTGCTGGCGTGGAACAACAGCTACTGGACAGTGACACGTTCAAGGGTGATGCCTTCCAAAGGTCATATCAGTACATCAGCAGATATCAGCGAAAGGCCAATCTTGACAGGTTCTGTTTCACCCCTGGGAGGGTTGAAGGGACCCAGGAAGTGTGTCTGAGGCTCTTGTTGGACTCCTGTGGGAGAAAGAACCCTTCCTGGACTGAGCTCAGCAACTTCACGCGCTTCCTAAACCTCCAGCTGATGAAGTGTGAAAACTCAGTGTTCTGCAGCAGCAAATTAGCTGGAGAGGAATTTAAGGGGTTTAAAGCATTTATTGTAAAATTTATGATCACCATGTCCAAGGACTTTGCCTTGCCTTCCCTAGCCATGGCAGATGAAAGCTCACCCAGCGAAGAGGAGAAAATGGACGAGGACAGTGTATTGAGAAGCTATCAGCTAAGACGCAAGTGGGAGCAAGAGTCTCACCCCTACATAATTTTCCATGCTGACAACCACTCCGTGGAGTTTTTGGGTTTTCATATCAATTTGAGTTTTGATGCTGTTGATGCACATTCACAGGCTGTTCTAGAGAAGAAGGTTATTGACCGACGTTTATATCTCACCCTTGAGGCTCAGAAAGTCCCTTTCAATAAAAAGTTTGAAGATCTGTCCAGACAAGAGCAGCTAGAAACTCTCTGCAGCGTATTCGGTGTGAGAAGCTCCCAAGACCCAGATGAATCCTACAAACTGACCCTGGACAATACCATGAAAATGCTGGCCATTCACCTGAGGTTCCAGTGTGGGATTCCCGTGATTGTCATGGGCGAAACAGGCTGTGGGAAGACCAAGTTGGTGCAGTTCATGTGCAGCTTGCAAAGAGCAGGAAGGGATGTTCAGAATATGATCCTGGTGCGTGTTCATGGAGGCACCAGCTCCAAAATCATCCACCAGAAAGTCAAGGAAGCCATCGAGCTGGCGCGCGTCAATGAAGAGACGCACAACATGGACACGGTGCTGTTCTTTGATGAAGCCAACACCACCGAAGCTGTGTTTGCAATTAAAGAGGTCCTATGTGACCAGAGTGTGAATGGAGAGCCAATCTCCACCACTCGCTTAAAAGTGGTGGCTGCTTGCAACCCTTACAAAAGGCACACCAAGGAAACCATTGAGAAGCTAGAGAAAGCTGGCTTGGGGTACAGAGTTCGGAGTGAAGACACCCTAGAAAAGCTGGGCTACATCCCTTTGAGGCAGCTGGTGTATCGGGTGCAGCCTCTTCCACCGAGCATGTTGCCCCTTGTCTGGGACTTCGGAGAGCTAAATGAAAATACTCAGAGTCTGTACATCAGACAGATTGTTAAATCCATCGTGAAAGACAAGCTTCCCGAAGAGAACATGGATGTTTTTACCTCTGTCATTTCCACCTCCCAGAAGTTTTTAAGAGAAAAGAAAGAGGAATGCAGAATCGCCAGTCTCCGGGACATAGAGCGCTGCATGCGGGTGCTGCTGTGGTTTTATAGCTTAAGAGACCTGCTTTTTCCTCTTATCGATTTAAAAAAGAGTAAGGCTCAACAGTCAAATGACTATGACCCGTCCATTCATGCCCTTGCAAAGGGGTGTGAGAAAGATCAGATATCTGCATTAAATGAAGCACAAAGATCTCTGGTTCTTGCAGTTGGGGTTTGCTATTATGTATCTCTCGAGAGTCGCCAAGATTATCTGAAAGAGATCGCAAAATGCTTCTCTGTGCCCGAATCCCTGCTTCAACTAGAGATTGTACTTTGCCAAGAGGTGTTCCTGGATAACCTCTCTGTTCCCAGCACAACAGCACGGAATGATGCCCTAAGGGAAAACATCTTCATGATGGTCATATGCATGGACCTGAGAGTGCCGCTCTTCCTTGTCGGGAAGCCAGGTAGCTCCAAATCCTTGTCTAAGACCATAGCCGCTGACGCAATGCGGGGCAGATTATCTGAAAAAGAATTGTTCAAACGGTGCAAGCAGATCCAACTGATGTCATTCCAGTGCAGCCCTCATTCCAAGCCCGAAGGAATCATCTCCACTTTCAAACAATGTGCACAGTTCCAAAGGGGCCAGAAACTGAAGGAGTTTGCCTCTGTGGTTATCCTGGATGAGATAGGCCTTGCAGAAGACTCACCTGAGATGCCCCTGAAGACACTGCACCCTCTTCTTGAAGATGGTTGCATTGATGATGAAGCCCCAGAACCTTACAAAAAAGTTGGCTTTGTTGGCATTTCGAACTGGGCCCTGGACCCTGCTAAAATGAACCGGGGCCTCCTTGTGTTCCGGACCGACCTCAACAAAGATGAGCTGGTGAAGACCGCCAAGGGGATCTGTGCTGTTGATCGGCATGTTACCAAGATTGAGCGTTTGTTCCCCTCCCTGGCTGACTTCTATTGTGAGGTGTTAAAGGAACAGTCCATGGAATTTTTTGGGCTCCGTGACTTCTACAGCCTCATCAAAATGATACTGTTCTACACCAAGAACATAAAAAGCATCTCCCAAGAAAAACAGGTCATTGCAAAAGCAATTCTGAGAAACTTTGGAGGTTTAAAAGATCTCAATCCTTTAGAACTGTTCAGAAAGTGCTCACCCATATCTCTGCCTTCCAACTTAGAAACCATCCATACAGTTCATTTGTTACAGGAAAATTTAGACAAGAAACAGATGGGGTTTGTATCTAGATACTTGTTGCTGTTAACAACAAACCATGCGGCTTTCCAGATCATACAGATGACCAAACTCATGGACATAGAGAACTGTGATATTATATTTGGCTCGGGTTTCCCATGGGACCAAGAATATTCACAAGTGTGCCGCTCTGTTAACAGAGTGAAAATCTGCATGGAGATAGGCAGGCCCGTCATTCTCTTAAACATTCACAACCTGTACGAAAGCCTTTATGATGCGCTGAATCAGTGCTTCGTCAGGTTAGGAGGAAACTATTATGTCGACCTTGGCCTTGGAACTCACAGGGTTAAATGCCGTGTGAAGGAGGAGTTTAGGTTGATTGTGATTGAGGAGAAGAACGTGGTTTACACGCAGTTCCCCACCCCGCTGTTGAACAGGCTGGAGAAGCACTGCTTGGAGATGAACACCATTCTGCACTGGCAGCAGAAGGGGCTGACGACACAGCTGAATGAATGGGCCATGTTGTTTGTCACTATCAAGAACACTGACTTCTGCTGCACGAGGCCGGCAGACCTGGCTCCCCAGGAACGTGATGTTTTCATTGGTTTCAGTGACGACACTTCTGCCACTGTTGTTCTGCAGTGCTCTCCGAGTGGTTTTCATGGGAACTGTCTGCCCGATGAAGAGTCAGTCCTCTCAGCTTCTAAAAGTAAACTCATTGAGTGTGCAACCCCCGATTCCATCCTGCGCCTCAAATATTCTCCGCTGGAGGATGCGGAGCAGGTTCAGGACCTCTATTTTGGAAAGCAGAAGCACAATGGCCTGATTGACATTCTGTGGGGGGCAGTGAAGCAAGAGTCAAATGCAGATGGCACCAATGGACTGTGCCTGGAGGTGAGATGTTTTATTTCAGTGTTGTTATAATGGGCCTGACTCTCAGAGGTGGGGGCAACCAGAACTCCAGTTGATTCCCGTGATAGCTGCAGGTGCACAGCACCCCTGAAAATACAGTATTAGACGACGACTACTAGTATTATTATTTATTGTTCATATTGAGGTAGCACCGATAGACCCCAGTCACAATCGGAGCTCCATTATGCTGGGCACTGTACAAACACGTGGGAAGGATGTTGATAAATTGGAGAGGGTTCAGAGAAGAGTCATAAGAATGATTAAAGGATTAGAACACAAGCCTTATAGCGAGAGATTCAAGGAGCTCGATCTATTTAGCTTAACAAAGAGAAGGTCCAAAGCTGACTTGCTGACAGTCTCTAAGTGGGAACAAATATTTGATAATGGGCTCTTCAGTCTGCTAGGTATAACATGATCCCATGGCTGGAAGTTGAAGCTAGACAAAATTCAGATTGGAAATGAAGCATACATTTTTAACAATGAGGATAATTAACTATTGGAATAACTTACCAAGGGCTGTGTTTAGACTCTATTAGTGGCAGTCTTAACATCAAAGTTGGATTTTTTTAAAAGTTCTATTCTGCTTCAAGCAGGAATTATTTTTGGGAAATCCTATAGCCTCTGTTAGACAGGAGGCCAGACTAAATGATCACAATGGTCACTTCTGGCCTTGGAATCTATGAACTGAAGTTCTTGGTTTCAACAAATTCTTGTGGCAGTGAGTTCCACAGGCTAATTACATGTGTGAAAAATTATTTCTTTTTATCAGTTTTGAATTCCCCACCTTTTATTTTCATTGACTGTCCCCTTGTTACTGTGTTATGAGACAGGGAGAACAGATGCTCCTTATCTCCCTTCTCTAGAACAGTGAGTATTTTAAAGATTTGGATCCAGCCCTCTTTTTTTCATCTCCTTTCTGTGGTAACAATCCCAATCCTTCAGTCTTTATACAGAGCAGTGTTTTTCTAGGTTCTTTGACTTTGTCATTACAAGTAAAAAGTTTGTGGTTTTGAGAAACTAAGAGGTTAGTTCTGTATATAAGAACATAGGAGTGGAAAGGGACCTTCTGGAACATCTAGTCCCATCCTTGCTCACATAGGCAACTCTGTCAGATAATTCCCTTAATAAATTTATCAAGTTGCATCTTAAAACCAGTTTGGTTTCTTGCCCCCGCTGCTCCTATTGGGAGATTTCCAGAACTTCCTTCGCCTGATGGTTAGAAACCTTCTTCTACATTTATTCATGGCCAGTTTATCCCCGTTTGTTCTTGTGCCAACATTGTCCTTTAGCTTCAATAGCCCTTCTCCCTCCATGGTTTCACCCCCTGATGTGTTTATAGAGAGCAATAGGATCCCCTCTCAGCCTTCATTTTGTTAGGCTAAACCGCTCTTCCAGTGCCATCTTGCAAGATCAGCTCTCCATCCCCCTGAGCATCCTAGTAGCTCTTCTCTGCACCTGCTCCACTTTGAATTCATATGTAGGTGGGTTTCTGCTAAGTGCCTATTTGCCTAACTCTGTCTGCATCTTACCCAGCTATCCCAACCTGGCCTAAGATCCTCCAGCCTTTTTCACTGACCCAAAGCCCAGAAAGTCAATGAGAGTCATTATTATTGTGTCCATTGCAAGGAAACTCATATGATCCACTAATGTTTGGTGTTGGTACCTCATGCTATGGTCTTGTCAAAACCCATACAGCATGTCTGTGGAGGGGACATGTTTCAGAACAGGGCTGTCTCCCCTCCCAGTCAGTGCTGACTCCAATGCCCCATTTGTGGCGTTAGAGGGCGCTGTGCTGCAAGGAGTGGGGTGGGGGCTCTGTAGGGGGGCTCTCCCCTCCCAGTCAGTGCTGATTCCAATGCCCCAGTCTGATGAAGTGGGCATTCACCCATGAAAGCTTATGCTCCAATACTTCTGTTAGTCTTAAAGGTGCCACAGGACCCTCTGTTGCTTTTTACAGATTCAGACTAATACGGCTACCCCTCTGATACTTAATGCCCCAGTTGTGCCGCTAGAGGGCGCTATGTTGCAGGGAGTGGGGTGGGGGCTCTGAAGAGAGGCTCTCCCCTCTGTCAGTGTTGACTCCAATGCCCCAGTTGTGGCAGTAGAGGGCGCTGTGCTGCAGGAAATGGGGTGGTTCGTGGCTCTGTTTTTTCAACAACAAAAATCAACATTTTCCATGAGAGGGAAAAAAACATTTTCACATCAGTTCTATTGGGCAGCCATTCAAAAGTCCCGTAAGGAATTATTTTTATTGCAGTTTTCGTGTGTATTTACAATAGCAAAATCAAGCGCAAAAATCTTGCCTAAATTGACTTCTTTTTCATAGGTTTCTACACATGCAAGACTTCTAAACCAGAGAGATTTGGAAATAGTAAGAAAGAGACTGAACCTCCAAAATAAAATCCGCTGTCTTTTTCTAAAGCAGTTCCATACAGAACATGCATTCCGCCAGGAACTTAGGTAACGAGTTTTTTTGTTCCTACTTCTTTTCTTGTTGTTTAGTTCTGTATGTGATTTTTTTAAAAGTATCTAAAGAGACTTTTTTATCATGTGCAGTAAGTTCTTCAGAAAATCGACAGAAGAGAAACTGCTTTTTGTCCAGTTCAACTTTGACGAGCCGCAGAGCAGCAAAAGGCTTCTTGCCTGTGCAAAGTAAGCAGCTTTTCTTATAATTTTAGGGCCCAATACAGTGGAGGAGTTAAGCATGTGTTTCAGTGATTTGCTGAATCGGGGCCTTATAAAATAACCATGTTAGTTCTATGCTAGTAGATCTTCCTGCTGATGGAATTTCCAGCCCTCCACTCCATTGCAGTGTCTGAGGGAGGCTGAATGGGAACAATAAGGAATCTCGGAGGCCAGTTCGGCAGCCAACCAAAGATGCCACATTTATTATGATAACAATTTGATTTATGACCAATAACTAATATCTTAATCCTTATACACACATTATACCTAATACCTACACACACACATTTACACACACACACACACACAC